TTTGTTTGTCCCTTACAATTTAAAATCATAGAAAAAAAAAAGAAGGATGAATTTTCCTTTTCTTAAGTTGGCAAATGAAAGTTGCTCAATTTGTTCAGTGATATACTATGGGGATGTGCAACCTCTTCGCTCACTAGGATGCTGGACCAATTGTGTATTCTGTCAATCAAGAACAAATATAGTTTATGCAAATGGACACGACTGCAGCACCAGGATTCTGGAATATCTAATCTAGCTTGGTGGTAGTGGCTTTAGAGGCTTACTACTGAAGACAATAATCTCTGGAAAAAGTCCATTGATGCCAAATATGGCACTTGCCAGCAAGCTTGGCGTTGGACTTATTTGTGATGATAGATTATGGGGAGCATTAACTTCAGAGGGATAGGTAGATAAATATTTGGGCTTTACTAAGGCTGGTGATGGACATAAATCATATTATTGACAGATATTTTGGGTGGAGACAACCCCCTCAATATAAGGCTTTGAACTTTTACTCCATTCCTCAGGAGAAACATGCAATCATGCAATAGTCGCTAATAATTTGCAGAGAAATGGAATCGCTGTATGCTGGAATCATATTTGCTCTTAGCTGTGCTGGTGGGGGGCTGGAAAAAATTGAGAAGAAAGAAATTTGAGGTCAAATCCTACTGTAAGGTTACTTGTCCCAGACAGACCACTTGCTTTCTGTGGGAACAGATTTGGAAGGTTAAAGCTTCGTGAAAGAGTTTCTTCTTTGGCCTGGTTAGCATCAAAGTTATATCTTACGAATGAAAATTTTTTGAAGTCTTGGTCTCATTGTTTAGGCAGTTCTGCTGCATGTGCCAGGGAGAGGTCCGAATCTATAAATCATCTGTTGTTTCACTGTGAGTGGTGTCCAAAAATCTGGTTTTTTATTTCATAAGCCAGTTTGGCTCCCGTGGTCATGATGCCACACTCTAGATGTTTAGCTCTTAGCTATTGCAAAGGTTTCAAAACTGAGGTATAAATTTGGAGAGTTGCCTGATATAAAAATAATGTACTCTTCATTTCCAAAAAAATTATTATATTACTTATCAAAGACAATAAATAACTTCCTGCGATGTGCCAGCACGTTGCTTATAGTTGATCATTCATGCAAAACAGTTATTAGGACATTGTTCTTCGCTGTTCTGGCCTTCAAGAGGGTTTGTCAGGAATTTGAGGTCAGATCTTAGCTGTAGTTAATTTTACTTTGTAATTTTTGCTAGGATCAAGGAAATCACTTTGTTGTTTGTTCTCTTCTGCATTCACTTAATTTAGGGTTGTTTGTTCAGCACAGTTTGTTATGTGGTTGAGAATGTTTTTCTTTCTTTCAGGTGCTTTCATTCAAGTCCAGCACTTTTGGCTAGAGGTGATGGGCAATTTGGTTTAAGGACTCCCAAGAGAGAAAAGTATGTTAGAAGAGAGAATAGGACCCAACCGCCCGTTGAGGCTCCATATGTGGCACCTAAAGTGAAAACAGTGACAAAGTCCTCTGTCGATAAAACAATTGACATTTTTGAAGGCATGACAATAGTCGAACTCGCCAAGTGTACTGGTGAGTCATTATCTTCACTGCAAGATATTCTTCTGAATGTTGGGGAGAAGGTCGAATCAGAGTTTGATCCTCTCAGCATCGACATTGCGGAGCTTGTTGCAATGGTATGTTTGCTTGGTTGTTGTGGTAATTCTTTTACATGCTTGAAATGCAAAAGAGGAAAAAAAGGTCACGACTGTTATTTTCATTCTTCCTAAATAGCTGAGAATACAGATGTTAGCTGAAACACAATATGTGCTGAGATTGCTGATTTAATTATTAAGAAAACCTTTTTCAAAGGGAACATTACCCACTTCTGCCTTGTGAGGCACTTGCTTATCTGCTTACTGTCATTAGCACTTGATACAACTGAATGTAGTGCATGTATCTTTGTTTGAATATAGTTTCAGGGACTTACTTTGAACCTATACATCTTACAGGAACTTGGTGTCAATGTTAGAAGGCGTCACTCCGATAAAGGTGCAAAGCTTTTAGCTCGGCCACCCGTCGTCACGGTCATGGGTCATGTTGACCATGGGAAAACTTCTCTTTTGGATGCTCTGCGTCAAACATCTTTGGTGGAAAAGGAAGCTGGAGGAATAACTCAGCATCTTGGAGCATTTGTTGTGAGCATGCCCTCGGGTTCATCAATAACATTCCTCGACACTCCTGGTCATGCCGCATTCAGTGCAATGCGGGCCAGAGGTGCGGCGGTCACTGATATTGTTGTGCTAGTGGTAGCTGCGGATGATGGAGTCATGCCTCAAACTCGAGAGGCCATGTCCCATGCAACATCGGCCAATGTACCAGTTGTTGTTGCTATTAATAAATGTGATAAACCAGCTGCTGACCCTGAACGAGTAAAACTGCAGCTCGCATCAGAGGGGTTACTTTTAGAAGAGATGGGTGGAGACGTTCAGGTAGTTGAAGTTTCAGCTGTAAAGAAAACGGGACTGGATAGGTTAGAGGAGGCATTGCTTCTGCAGGCTGAGCTTATGGATCTGAAAGCACGGATTGATGGGCCTGCGCAAGCTTATGTAGTGGAGGCAAGGCTTGATAGGGGGCGTGGTCCGTTGGCCACAGCGATGGTGAAAGCAGGGACTTTGGTTTGTGGGCAGTATGTGGTTGTGGGTTCTGAGTGGGGGAGAATAAGGGCTCTCAGGGACATGATGGGTAAGATGACTGATCAAGCAACCCCGGCTATGCCTGTTGAGATTGAAGGGTTGAAGGGTCTCCCTATGGCTGGTGATGATATTGTCGTTGTAGATTCTGAGGAACGTGCTAGAATGCTTAGTACCGGAAGAAAAAGAAAGTCTGAGAAAGACAGACTTCGGAAAATAAGCGAGAGAAGGACAGGAGCTGTAGAGACATCAGAAGAACAAGTGGTGGAGAGAGTTGAAATGCCAATAATTGTGAAAGCAGATGTGCAAGGAACAGTGCAAGCCGTTACAGATGCTTTAAAAAGTTTGAATAGCCCTCAGGTAATGCAAAATACAAATAGCCACTATTCACTAACCATGTTTTGCATTTGCTTTGGGACATGTCTTCAATAAGAAGACGGAAGCTTAAGTCATAAGTTCATTGATTGTCATATACCTGCATCTCCATGAATGAGATGCTTCTTTTCTTATCGATGTTTTTTCTGTTTGAACATCAGTTGTCAGGAACAAATGCCTTGCTCTGATGTGATACCCCTTACTGCTACTTTGCATGAAGAAAATTCTACTGTTTGCAGTAAATTCAAGTTTTTTCCCCTTGTGTGCCATCGCATCATCTTGTTTCTATCAGAGCTTTATTTAAGTCATTCCTGTTGACATATATTCTTCCATTCATGTGCTCAGGTTTTTGTAAACGTTGTGCATGTTGGTGTTGGACCGGTTTCTCAGTCTGATCTCGACCTAGCTCAGGCCTGTGGTGCATGTATAGTTGGGTTCAATGTGAAGAATCCTCCTAGTTCTGTAACTCAGGCGGCAACTAGAGCCAGTATTCAGGTATCGAATTTGTTTCTTCCCTGTCAATCTTTTGACTTTTTGTTAATAGTGGCTTTTAATGTGGTATCAGATAAATAGCCGCTCAGTGCAGAGAAGTAATATTAAGAGAGCAAAAGCGTTTTAATGACATGACAATTGTCACTCTATGCTCACTTAAAATCCCACTTCAATGCATTGTAAAGATAAAGACATGCACTTCCCTGTGAAGAACCAGAAATACCTCATTTTGGAGCTCGAGATAGCCATGCTCTGTTTATTTAATCCCCGGTTTTTTGTATATGGTTTCAGATAAAAACACACCGTGTGATCTATCATCTTTTGGAGGATATGGGCAGCTTGATAGTTCACAAGGCTCCGGGGACTGCGGAGACTCAGGTAGCTGGTGAGGCTCAGGTCTTGAACATATTCGAGCTCAAAGGGAGGAGCAAATCCAAGGGAGACGACGTGAAGATTGCCGGTTGCCGTGTTATTGACGGGCAAGTCACAAGGTCGTCGACAATGAGGCTTCTGAGGAGCGGAGAAGTTATGTTCGAAGGGTCATGTGTGTCCCTCAAGAGAGAGAAGCAGGATGTTGAGATGGTGGGAAAAGGGAATGAATGTGGGCTTGTGATCCGAGACTGGGATGATTTCCGAGTCGGGGACATCATCCAGTGCTTGGAACAAGTTGTACGGAAGCCTAAGTTCATTTCATCGGAAAGTGGAGCTGTTCGAATTGAGTGCTGACAGCATGCCGTTTGAGTTGATAACGGATTTTGTTGGTTGTGTCTTCCCTCTCAAAAACGCGGGGCCAACACAAACAATTTTGTATTTCGGTTGACAAACAATTCAATTTTTGAGTCTTTACATGCTGATGACCCTGCTGATTAGTACAAACCTTTGAAGTGTACATTAGCCCAGTTTAAGAAGCATGATAATGTTATTTGTATATACAATACATATATCTTGTGATGCGGAACACGGATGTTGTTACATTCAGGATATAATGAACTGCTTACAGAGAACCTCTTGAGTTCTATCACCAAACCTAGTACTTTTTTTCACTCTATCATACTGCATGGATAGGAGAGCAAGTTTTCAGGATTTTGATGTGACGAAGTGAATAACCAGGTAAAATCATTTGATGTTCTCAAGGATGCAGTCCATCATGTCTGATTTACATGAGGATCAAATGATGCAGAGTCGTATGTTATGTTGTCCAGATGATTATATTTATCTTAAACCTGCAGAATTTCTATGTGCAGTTTAACCTACACTGCCTCGACAGGTTATAACAGGTAGACTTTCCAAGCATAGATATGATCATACTCCATTCGAGGCAGCCTGGTATGGTAACTTGGTAAGCCCTCACATTCAATTGCTGTCTGCAAGTGTCAAATGTTCCAGCACATCTTTTTCTAGGCCATCATTCTAAGATGATAAATTCAGAATGATCTTGAAGTGTTGTATACGTAGTAACCCCCCTCTCTCTCTCTCTCTCTCTCTCTCTCTCTCTCTCTCTCTCTCTCTCTCTCTCTCTCTCTCTAAATGGGTTACTTTTAAATTTGAATTTTTTGAGCACTGCGAGGCATGGGGCAATTTGTCAGCTGTGACATACCTTGAGCAGGGAATCTCTTACCTTCTAAGCTGCAGGAATTCTTTGCAACTCGTGATCCTGCTCACGTCTTTTTTGGGCCTCTATGCAAATATACGAAGCAAAATGATAGCAATGCAAACTATTGTCACTAAAAATGTTTAGGGACCTGGGAGGCACAAAAAGTTCTGAAATAAATAATATTAATGTCATCTGGGGTAAATCAACATGTTCTTATGTCAGGGTTGTTATAATAAACTAAAGATTTCGAAATGAAGTAATCCCAGAAAATGATCTTTGTTATTACATGACCGAGGGTTCAGATGATCCTGACTTACACCATCGCAAGTCTAATTAAACTTTCTCAAAACATATGTTTCCCATTATTGCTGGTAGAAAACCTTACCAGAGCCAACATGCTCATCATGTATTCAACTTGCATTATCATTATTTTATGATAAACCACATACCCCTCCAAAACTGACCTTGTCGCCTCCTGAAGGGCCTCCTGTGACAAGAAATATTCAAATGGCATTGCATTAGAATATAAAGGTTTCTGTATTTTCATATTTAATCAACAGGACTGGCTGTCTTTAGCTCATTAAGAGGGAAAGTACAATGCAACAGCTTGGTTGCAGTCCCTAGCAAATCAGTGTTTTTTGGGTGAACCAATTTAAAGCTGCGCGCATGACAACTTGCCAAACGGTGTTTGATTCTGTTCTTTGTTCCCGAATCGGTTTGGGAACAAAATGCGTTTGTTTAATTTTTTGATTATGGGCACAATTTTGTCAAAAATTGTTCCCAGAATCAATTTTGGAGCAGTAATCAAGAATAAAAAAAAGTAGCTTCTTGATTCTGGAACAATTTTGAGAATCAATTTTTTTTTCTTCTTCATTTTCTTGGTTTTTAATTTAGCTTCTAATGTCCCGCCCGAGGACCGCCTCACGGATCCGACGAGAATAAAATATTTTAATAAAAAATATTATTAATAAAAAATATTTTACCCACCATGGCCAGCGACCAGGTCATGGCCATAAAAAAGAAAAAATATATATTTTTAATAAAAATATTTTAATAAAAAAAATATTTTACCGGCCATGGCCGGCAACCAGGCCATGGCCAAAAAAAATAAAAATATTATTAATAAAAATATTATTAATAAAAAAATATTTTACCTTGCCGACGACTGTGCCATGGCAAAAAAAAAGAAAAATACTTTTAATAAAAATATTATTAATAAAAAATATTTTACTATGGCCACGGCGAAAGGCTATGGCCAAGAAGGAGGAAAAGAAAAAAGAAAGAAATATTAAAATATTTAAAAATATTATTAATAAAAAGAAAATTTATGGCGTTACCAAACGCATTTCTGTTCTTTTTCTATTCCAGGGATGGAATTTTGGGCCGTTAACAAACACCTTAAAATGCTCATTCCGAAATCAAAAAGAATCATTTCGCACACCAGCGAGCCTTCGAATTTGCACACCGAGAGTACATGCTTCCATTCTCTACGAGGTAATGACTAAGGTTTACGCCGATTCCCTCGAGTCGAGCTAAAGGCGGACTTGATTTTTAGCTCGAGTATGAGCTAGCATAGTACCTAGATATCTATATGATAATCTCCATATTAGTTAATAAGAATCGAATGATGCTCGAGATTGATCGCCGAACATCTTTCCCGATCGAACTCGATTCCTAATTTGCCCTGATTTCCATCACTTCTTTTATCATGTTGAGCATAGGATTGAAGAACCAAACGCAATTCACAAACCAAAACGAATGTCGAATAGGATGGCGAACTGAAGAACTCGTTAAGGTTTTAGTTTTAGCTTCTTGCCGATCCTAGGAGGCGTCGCCGAAAACACAAACGACGCCCTCTCGTCAGTTGTTGTCCCTTCGGTCCCTCGACGAGTCCGTCACTCTCACCTGTTAAAAATCTCACCTTTTTCTTCACCCACCATCCCCCCACCTCCATTTCCATCTTCTCCTTCCTTCCTTCCTTCCTTCCTTCACCAACCCTCTCTCTCTCTCTCTCTCTCTCTCTACACCCATGGACGCCTCCGTCGCCCTCTCCCGCATAGGCCTCGCCGGCCTCGCCGTCATGGGCCAGAACCTTGCCCTCAACATCGCCGACAAGGGCTTCCCCATCTCCGTCTACAACCGCACCGCCGCCAAGGTCGACGAGACCCTGGACCGCGCCGCCGCCGAGGGCGGCCTCCCCCTCTCCGGCCACTACTCCCCCCGCGACTTCGTCCTCTCCATCAAGCCGCCGCGCTCCGTCATCATCCTCGTCAAGGCGGGCGCCCCCGTCGACCAGACCATCGCCGCCCTCTCCGACCACATGTCCCCCGGCGACTGCATCATCGACGGCGGTAACGAGTGGTACGAGAACACCGAGCGCCGCATCGCCGAGGCCTCCGAGCGGGGCCTCCTCTACCTCGGCATGGGGGTCAGCGGCGGCGAGGAGGGGGCGCGCAACGGCCCGTCGCTGATGCCCGGCGGGTCTTTCCAGGCCTACGAGAACGTCAAGGAGATCCTGCACAAGGTCGCCGCCCAGGTGGACGACGGGCCTTGCGTCACTTACATTGGTGAAGGCGGGTCGGGGAATTTTGTCAAGATGGTGCACAATGGGATCGAGTACGGCGATATGCAGCTGATTTCGGAGGCCTACGACGTGTTGAAGAACGTGGGCGGGCTGTCGAACGAGGAGCTCGCGGCCATCTTCGACGAGTGGAACAGGGGAGAGCTGGAGAGCTTCTTGATCGAGATCACGGCGGATATCTTCAAGGTGAAAGATGAGCATGGCGATGGGGAGTTGGTGGATAAGATTCTGGATAAGACCGGGATGAAGGGCACGGGGAAGTGGACGGTGCAGCAGGCGGCGGAGCTGTCCGTGGCCGCGCCCACAATCGCTGCGTCACTGGATTGTAGGTACCTGAGCGGGTTGAAGGACGAGCGGGAGAGCGCAAGCAAGGTCTTGAAGGAGGCAGGGTTGAAGGATGACGTGGGGTTGGTGAGGAGCGGTATCGATAAGAAGAGATTGATAGACGATGTGAGGCAGGCGTTATATGCCTCGAAGATATGTAGCTATGCGCAGGGTATGAACCTGTTGAGGGCGAAGAGCATCCTGAAAGATTGGAACTTGAATTTCGGAGAGTTGGCAAGGATTTGGAAAGGTGGGTGCATTATCAGAGCTGTGTTTCTTGATCGGATCAAGAAGGCTTATCAGAGGAATCCGAACTTGGCGAGCTTGGTCGTGGACCCTGAGTTTGCGAGGGAGATGGTGCAGAGGCAAGCTGCGTGGAGGAGAGTCGTGGGATTGGCGATCTCGGCTGGGATTAGCACACCAGGAATGTGTGCGAGCCTTTCTTATTTCGATACTTACAGGCGCGCGAGGCTTCCGGCCAATCTCGTCCAGGCTCAGAGGGACTTGTTCGGGGCACATACCTATGAGAGGATCGATCGCCCCGGGTCTTTCCACACGGAATGGACCAAACTCGCTCGACAGACCGGTGCGGGTGTAGGTTCTCTTAACTGATCTGTTATCAGCGGATTGCCCCATTGTTTGTCTGGATCAGGTCTTGCCAACGGTTTGATTTGAATTAGAGATGTTTTTCTCACTGAATATTACTGGTTAGGCATCGCAATTGTTGTTCAGCCTTGAGGTTTTTGTTGTTACTAATAAGAAATGCATGCCTAAAGCCTTTCAGTCCATATGCCATCTGCTATACACTTTGCAGTTTCTTTCTCATCGAGTCAAATGCATATGCTCGATATTATGTCAAGTTGGAGCCAGAAATGCTGTATTTTCGTTTCCTCATATACTTAGAGTGAGTGATGAAGTGTTGGCCTGAACAAACGCTGCCTGTTCACCAAGTTAAGACGGGTAGCTGCCTGCTTTGATGGGGGAAAAATCGCGGAGATGCTTATAGACATATGAAACCTCTTATGAAGTTACATGTGAATGCTGAAATGCCGAATCCATTAAAGGGGAGGCTTTGGAGAATGAATTTGCCTGGGACAAGTAGTCTGATATCAGAATGTAGTAGATGCAGTGATTTTGCTTAAACTGTAACTTAATAAGAGAGAATATAAAGGATCTTAAACTTTTAATGGATAGCACAGCTCAAAGCTTTTCACACTTTTCCATCCTTTCACTATCAATGGGACTTTTATTGATCACGATCACATATTTTCTAGTAATCTGAAGACATACCAACGTAGAGTTTATGATGAGGTGTAGAAGGTTGAGGCATTTGTGCACGCAGAGAGAGAGAGAGAGAGATCAGATGCATTAGTTGTTCTCTGGTGCATACCTGGTAATCTTTTGGAGCATGTGAGGGTGCTGTGAGGGGATGCTATGTTTGGGCTTTCCAGTAATCTGGTGAGAGTTTCTTCAATTATACTTAATGGATGAGTGTTGCCGGTCAAGAGATTGCGAGAGGCAAAGCAGGGAATGCATTTTAATGCTTCGTATTGTGATTCTAAGTTTTTAAGAGAACATGCGAGTATGATGAAGAAAGCACTAAGAAATTTTAGATTCGGTCTGGTGTTGTCCAAGTCCATGCTCAAACTCGCATCTTGAATGGGTTTGAAGGAGCTACTGTTACTTTGATTCTGCTTAGATAGAAATTATGGCCGTGTCTATAGGCTCATAAATATGATCTTCATCCCCACACGATTGGGACGTTCGATATGGCCTGTTCATGTAGCTCTATTGACTCGCAGCCTGAGGGTTACATGTTAGGATCATGTCTTGATGGTGTTATAGAGAATACTTGCAGGATAACGGGTCTCTGTCTCTTTCTCCCTCTGGACTGAACATTGATGGTACTGTTGCTCTCTCTCAGGAGATGCTTTCTTGTGAGCTCACGTCTCTATTTGTTAGATGCTTTCTTGGTGGCAATTCTTTTCCATGGAAACGGACAAGACAGAGTTGGGAGGCTTTCAAAAAATCATGGGTTGGTGGGATACCTGTTTAGCTTCTCCTTGTTCCTTGCACGAATATTGTTGTTGACACCTATTTTTGAAAGTCGGTTGCGACAATTCTCTTTTTTTGTAAAATGTTTTTGGAAAATTTTCCGGAGTCTTTGTAAATGATTTTCCTTCAATACTTTAATTTTTAATTTTTTTTTTTCTTTTTTTCTTCTCCTTGTCATGCCCATATTTTAATAGGGAAAATGACATTAGAAGTGACATAATTTTTGTACGGCGCTTACTTTAATATCAAAACTTTTCATCGAATCACTTAGCAAGTCTTATTTTAGAGAAAAAACGATCAGCTTAAGTCTCCAGTGATAAATTTCGACAAAAAATCCTAGGTGGCTTTTTTAATTAGATATTTATTTCAAAATGGTTTGTTGAATTAATTATATACAATTACATGGCTTTTTTATGAAAAAGAAAAGTCAATTTGGAAATTTCGGCCACACTCTCTCTTCTTTCTAACCAAACGAGGTTGTTCCAATTGACTCATCGGTCTTCCTTGTTGTCACCATCTTCAGCGTTCCCTCGCTCGGCTTCATCTCCTTTCTTGCGTCACTCAAATCCTCTTTCAGTTCCGTCGCTACCTCCGATGGGCCTTTGAGTCAGTCGGTAATCATTGTTGTTTTCCATGGAGTGCTGTGACCGAAAGGCTCTATTTCTCCTCGTTGTCTCCATTGCTTAAGAACTCTATCTTCTCGTTCAAGCCTTGGTTCGTTCCTTCCTATAAAAAGCTCCACTTTCGCCTAGAGTCAGTGCCGGAGAAGAGGAACCAAGAGGCCCTGTTTTTTAAGCTTTTGTTTGCGCTCTTCAAGAGCTCACCATTCTCATCCGAGCCATCACTCATCCATTCTTGAAACACGAATTGAGTGGCTTGTCATGCTTTTACTCCATGGCAAGATTCACCTCGAAATTTTGGTCCAAATTGTCAAGTTTTGAATTAGGGTTAAAGAAGAGGGGATATGGTCGAATTGGCCGAATTAAGGTTTTAAATTGGGGCAAACCATGCTAAATGACGTCGCTTGGGGCACATATGCCGAGTCAGATTACTGGCGAGCCATGTCAGTCCGAAAAAATGATAAAATAATGTCACGTTGGATTTTTGGCGTTCCAAATCGGAGTTAAGACTTAAGTGATATGTTTTTTTTTAAGTAGTACTTTAGTGATTTAAAAAAAAATTGACACCAAAGAAAGTGTCATATCAAAATTACGACACTTGTAATATCATCTTCCCTATTTTAATACCTTCGTTGAAAAGGATGTTGAAATGGACAGTCCAATTGCGCAAGAGAAACTCCTCCACATGAAAGTTCCATAAGTCAATACAGCCAGGCCTCTCCATCAACTCTGCGTCCTAGGTTTTATTTCCCTCGGTCATTCTGACAATTAGGATGAGTTCAGGGAATCTTGACTCATCTCAATGGTTTACCTATTAGGGTATGACATTCCATAAAAATAAAGTTCATGTACAGTGAGTAATACCGTTTGTTGAAGGATTGGAGGATTGGTAGCTGTTAGATCATGAACAGATATATTTTGCTCAGCCTGTCACCAAAAGTCTCTTTTGAGCATTTTTGAACTATGATATTTTGTACAGAAATTACGACCGATATGCACTTGGATGCGATGTGTTGCGATCGATGGCAGATATCTCCTATGATTGATTATGCTAAAGAGACTTCAAGTAGTCTTTGTTAGGGTTTGACTGTGAGGAGACCATGAATGCCGAAATAGGACTCGCTAGAGAAAAGCTGAGGAGCATCGTGGCCACAATGTGATGCTAATGCAACTCTAGTTACAAACTTGGTCAACCACAAATTAGCAGTTCACCTGCACCCCAAATACATCCTAAATGGATGACCTAATCAATGTACGGAATCAATAACCCATTGCCCAAAGCTAATACCAAATCGCCCATTATGATATTTCTACTCCATATCTATTTTTATGGATAGATCATTCTCACTTACATGGAATTACAAGCATGTAGTGGAGATGTGATTAGTTCAAGTGGCGTGTTATTATTCTATGATGCACATAACATTAACTGCAGACTAAGTAGAATTTTCTTCCATCTGGGCTTTGTCTGATGACTCTTCTGCCTCAGAGAGTACTGCAATTGCTATCATATGATCGACAGAGATGAAGGCACAGAACATACAGAGAAAGGGTGTAGGAAGTCCAAAAAAGACTTTGGATATGCAATTTGAATGTAGTTTCACAATGTCAATTTAAGTAAAAGAGCAACTCCTGGGCAAGCACAAGCACAATATCCCCAGAATGGCCGAAATGTGATCAAAGAAAAGGAAAAGGTGTTTTTCTTCTCTCTTTTTAGGTAGTAAGAGGACCAATATCATTTGCTAAGTGGATTCATATCAGCAAGCTCAAACCAAATTGCCCGACTCTTCTTTGCCATCTCGCTTTTCTGCGTTGCTCACCCTTCAAGATCCAGGGACGGTGGCTCTTGTTCATGGGCATGAATGCTCGGAACTATGTTAAACCTCCATTTTCAAGAACCGGCTGTGTTCTTGTCACTGTCGCGGAGGGCATTTTGCTGCCACCAACCCATATGGTCTTGAACAGTTCCCCTTCGTCAGCCTGTCTCTCCATCACCTGAACTTTCTTCGACCTCGACATCCTCAGCAGCACAAAACCCACGTAACACATCAAGGCCATCCCCACAATTCCGAGCACTAAACCAATCACCCAACAATTTCCCCGCTTCCCCTTCTTTGTCTCAGGAGGAATGATGATTGAGAACCGACCCTGATCTCGAGCATAACATGTGTATGCCGATCCCATTGCGCTGAAATGTACCGTCCCGTTTGCATAGAAGGCCGCACACTTTGCTGTGGAGGTTTTCACGCTAGGATTCACCGGAGCATTGAACTGAATAGATATAGGATTGCCACTTGTGCTGAGGCCAAGCTTGATGATGCTATTAGAATGAATATCAGATGCATCGTACACCTTAAAACCGACGACCGGAGTGATCAGGGAGTACCCAGAAACGGAGTAATACTGGGTTGACCAGTTGCCCAAGTTCTGATACACTATGGCAAGCCTCCTAACGTGAGGGACTGGCAATGTTCTTGGTGGGATAGTGAAGCCGCTGAAGTTAGTGCCTTCTCTCCATAGCGTTCTGCTTCGTAGCCGAATGACCGAAACCTCCATGCCCGACAAATTAGCAGGGAGGATTGCCTTGTATAGAGCACCAGTGTGAGGCCGGCGCAGGACCAGCGTTCGGAACGCGGAGTTCTCAACCGACGCATCCAAGGAATTGGTAGCCATGTCGACCGTGGGATCAGCAGACGTGAGGTAAAAGACGGTTAGAACCAACTGCAAGAGGACCAAGTTCATGTTGAACTATATCAAGAGGATGATGAGCACACAAAAAAAGGACACCGGTGGCCAAAATAATGCGGACGCGGGTTTATCAAGATCGAGACAGCTTCTTAAACGGAAGCGAAGCAGCGCAGGATCAGCTGCAAAAGGATCGAGGAAAAAGAGTCGCTGAAAGAGATGTCTTTCTTGTTTAAGTGATGATTAGTCTTCGAAGCAACCAAGCATGCTGGACATGATGAATCTGATGGGTCCTCTCCGAAAGTTGGACCCCAAAACCAAAAGGGTCTCTTCTCATCCTGTTACCGTTGTACTGAAGCTTTTGACTTGTTGCAGCTAAGTGAAACGCGTCGTGAGGAAGGTTGATGGGTAGAGCCCGAAAGTTATTCAAGAATGGGTCCCAAATGTTGGAGCACGTAAAACATCATCGCGCTAAATTTTTGGCAAAGTTTCAAGATTCACTCAGCCCACTGAATGCGGGAGGCTACGTGAGCGTCGGGAATGGGGGTTTTATTATTTGACTTTGGGTTGATTGCTCTCTCCCTTTTCTCGAGCCAATTTGGCTCTTGAATATTACATAGAATCGGGCGTAAATAATACCTTGCTTGATAGCTCGCCACCTAACAAAGTAGTTATCCGAAAGCCATACTCCTAAGTTTATAGTACCGTCAGCTTGAGCTAGCTTTAAATTTTAAGTCGAAATGTGCTGTTAATGGGCGATTGGGTCATCCCGCGTTAAGTGCAGAACGTTGATAGTGAACTATTTTTCGACTCGGCTCGATTAATTACTCCCGTAGTGAGCATCGCCAAAATCTTCCAAAGTAAATGAATGAACAGCTCATTCAAAGAAAAGAGCACCAGACGGAAGGGATTTTCATATATATGGAAAACATCATTACACCTAAAGAAAGAGCACTAATTTGTTTCCCTCCTTGACAGATATGAGGAAGGGAAAACCCATAGTCCTCCACTCCGCTTCCCAATCCCAAGCACCTTCCCTTTACAACCACCGATAATTCCCACTGAACCGACACGGCCATTTTCGGCTTCAGAACCAGTAGATTCTTCAAGCCAACTTCAAAATGGGGGCCTCCAAGTATTACCGTCAGATTCAGGGAGAAGGGCTTACTCTGATGGTGAGCTCCGCTCTAAGATGGAGGATGCCATCAATGAAGTAGGGGCCATCATCCGACATAAAAGCTGTCCAAGGTATACCAAACAGATTGCGGTACCCAACAGCCTTCCCACCAGTGAAGGTATAGTTGCCTTTATACTTGCTCGCATACTCCTCGCTTGGCTTTGACCTAGCTGCAAATTCGTAGTCAACGGCAAAAGCAACCGAACCTTTCTCTTGCATCCCTAAAAATAGCCCAAAACAATGAAAAGAGCTCTGCTGGTCCATGTTGCAATGGGCAGAGAGGAAGAACCCCTGTCCTCCAAGATGAAAGGCCTGAGAATAGACTCGACCAGAAGGAAATAAATGTGCGCATTCCTCTCTCTTCAGGTCTAGGTAGACAATGCATTGTTGGCGGGGCAGTTCAAACTCCACCACCTTCACTGGGCGGTACTTATAAGCCCTCTCCACAAAGCGGCGGTGGATGCCATTGCCTTCTTCAGCAGCTAGCGACCGTTGCCTGTATGGTGCCTCAGCCTTGAAAAAGAGAGCCTCAAGGACAACCTTTGAGGCAAGATCCGGATCAAAGTCATTGCAACTCAGAACCTTCCTCAACTTCCGACAGGTCATGTACGGAAAACGGATGAGTCGCCCAAGTTTTGAAGCAAGGACTCCTCTTCGCTCCTCAAGTTTAGGATAATGGGTCCTGGCCCACTTGAGAACAAAGTCGTAAACTGCATCCTCAGATGCCACTTGAAGATCATCGCTGGCCAGTACTGCCTCAACACCTGCCAAAGGCAAGTTCAGCACCTCTTCTGGGAACCTGGAAACCAATCCAACAAATTAGTGAAACAGCGCAGAGTCTCATCAGTCAGCTTATGTACTCTGCTGCAAAGCTTTCAGCTGAACTAGGATTTCTAAAAGCATACATCAGGAAAGAATTGCGTATTCCTTTCTTTCTCAAACAATCAATCAACAAAACATGAAAATTAGACACAAAAAAAGAAGAGATTTTTTACCATAGAAAACAAAAGGTATCACCTTTCCACTGGGGAGAAGCCATTGCAGGGACAAGAAAAACAAACACTTGAAACACTCAATATTCATATGAGATAAGGGGTCTCAAAGCTTACTTTGTTATGTCCTTGTAACGTACAGCAAGAAATTGCTTAGCTGCATCCGTGAGAGGCTGAACAGCTTCCGCCATTAGAACACTGGAAGGAAGATCCAAGTAGAGCAATGCAGACTCACAAGTCATAGGTAAGTTCCGCAACAGTCTACTGCAATATCTCATGCATGATGCCACCTCAAACTTGTCTGCAGTTATTAAAACGTCCAAAAGACCAGTAGGTGTGGATGCTGATAAAGTATTACTGTACATAAAATTGAGAAGGTCCATGAAAGCCGCTTCCTCTGCTCCACAAATGACAACAAAAGAAAGAGAAGTTAGTAGAATCAAAATCTGTCAATATAAAAGGGGTCTCTGTGCACGATGAATGAGATGTGTTGCAGCAAGACGTCATGTATGCAGTATAGGTAGTAATATCCAAAATCCTGTGAGTGTTCAAGTAAGTACCAGATGCATTGATTGTCAAAGTCACATGCCGCTGCTCCGATTCTCTCATCCCATTTGAAAACAGCTAAAGAATACACTAGATGTCAATCAAACTAGTCATGTACGGAAAGCAAAACAAGTAATAGTGCACAGTAACCGAATATATTCACCTTGTAAAAGAAAGGACTCTTTGCTGCTAAAATTGGGGAGCTTATGTGCAAGGTTTTTATTTTAAGAACTGCTGAACACTCCATGGTTAATGATGTACCACCACTCTGCGCAGTTTCATCACCTGTAAAAGTCTCTAATTAACATCAAAACAGCACAAACAAATCTGATCATTTTAAAAGAAAAGTAACAAGTGATATAAGATGACAATGAACAGTGCCATAGGCATGGACATTAAAACCAAAGGATACTTCTCATGTGACAGCTCCGTAGACTACACATCCTCTTCCTATTTGCAAATGATGCAAAATCCTTATTCCTGTCTTTCATCTCAAAGAACTACATATCTGAGACTTACTGCTAATGCTTTCTCCTAAATTTGATATAAAGACAAGGTCTCCCTCACATTTCCCAATGTACAGCTCCTTAAAACAGCTTTCATTTTGTGAATTACCATCTTTTCCTCCACTAAGGTATAAGAATATACATAAATAGTAAATATAGCTGACAACAATACCCAGAAAGAATAAAGGACCAGTACTGACCACAAGCAAGGGGCATACATGTGAACATGATCAATACCATACACCAGGAAATTCTTAGAATGCACCCAGCTCTCCTCCAAAAACTCTACCAAAAAGATTAAATGGGAACGGGCAAGATTCACCATTACAGCTACCAGCTTTTAAAAAGAGGGAGCAACATAGAAATACCAAGTCTTTGTGAACTCATGCCGCCACCTGAAGGTGATTCCTCTATCATTGCTACTGCTTCCTCATCCTGATTCTCGTACCCAGCACCATCATCTGTATCTGGCATATTGCAACTCAATATCTGCTCCTCAAACTGAACGGGATCTAAAACTGCAAAAGCAAACAAATTAAACCATCAAGTGATCATTTTGCCAGAAAGGAGAACTATGCTTGGATGACAGATCTAAAGTGAACTTAGATATCTAACAGCCGTAGTGACAGCAGAGGAACTTCGCCATATAGCAGCAATGAATACATATTCTTGGAGGCAAGAAAAGAAACATGACTTGTTTCAGTGATCATGGCATGGTTGGAACCTGAACAAGGAATTCCCAAAAAAATAGTTTTAACATTCTAATACTCATGACAAACACTGGCTCATCAAGATTCATGGTCATGATAATAGGATAGTTAGGCTAATACCTCCTTAATGCACACCATCAAATATAAGCCAAGCAGAACACATGAGATTTAGCAGTTCGGGTAGGTATTTTACTTGAACATTTCCAATTAGTTTTTGGGGGTGCTCGGAGGTAGGTATACCCATTTGTTCGGTGTGAGGATGTGGAAGTGAGGAAATTGAAACACGTGATGTAGCCATAGTAAATAGTTCGCGTTACCATGAACACATCTTCAAAACATAACGTGGATTTCAAATATGAATCATCTATTTCATAAGCAGAAGTGACCTTGATGTGAATTAATATCATGAGAGGTTCTTCAGCCAATTTGAAGGCACAATAACGCCTTTGCCACAATGCTCTAAACTACATAATAACCACTAGCCATATGTTACACTCTGAAGTTTCACAGATGCATAGAATTCAATTGAACACACGGTGACAAGGCCATGAAAGAAAATCAAGGCTCACCAAAGATTTGAAATTTTTAACCAAGCAGCAAATATTCCACAACCAGAGAAAAGTTGTTCCAGACAATGATGAAACATGAAAGTCACTCGTCCATGTTTACACTTGCAGCTCCAGACAACCAAAACAAAGAAGAAGCACTTACTACTCAGTATCCAACTTTTGTGTATTTACTTTACTTAATATGAGAAAAGAAGATGTTCAAGTACTTCAGCGTCAGTGCAAATACCCATAAGTATAATTCTACACGAAGAATTAATGATCGACCTCTCTTTCCCAGCTTTTTGTCCTCTAACAAGGATGCAACCGTGTGGATCAATAACAACACACTCGAGAAAATTTCTCTGGCGAGAAGTCTTGACTTTGAAAAGGAAAAAAGGGGGCTGCTCAAGCAGCTCAAACGTACTGGAAAGCAGGTTTTCTCAATGAGATATCTCCTTTCGACATAAAAAGAAGATTATAGATCGTGACACTGCTATGGGTTTGTTTGATTAAACATATGCATATAAGAATTTTAATACCAATTTTTCCAGCATAATCCATATCACATATGCCTTCACCTAAATTTCCATATGATGCGCATCAAATCAAACTCAACTATTAATTACAATTACAACGCGAGTGCCAATTCCATTTCATTGAATTCAAGGTAAAGGTGAGCAGAAACAACTAATTTCCTATATCCCAGCTAAGCATTGCAGACCTAAATCTTCAAATGCTAAAGTTACAATGGACCGCCCTCGATTTCGAATAAATCGGTATGCTGCATTTCAGCCAACTTCAAAATTACCACATCCTTTTTCGAGCCTAAGTGGACTTCTTCCATCTTAAACCACGGCATCAACAATACATCAGTTAAATTTACCCTGAAACGAGATTTCTCCATCTCTAGGTGCAAAAT